CATCCCCACACACCACTACTATCCCTCTGAAATACCCATCTGACCTCTCCCTTCTCGGTTTAAGATCTCTGAGTGGCTCTGCAGCTCTCAGCCACAGTTCTTAATTTTCCTTTCAGAAATCTGATGATTCTTTCTATGAACACGCACACCCCCCCCCCCAGGAAAAAAAAGTGCATTGAAATTCTGGATGCAATTTCAGAAGGTACCAGTTGGTCCTGAAGCCAAATTTAAATGATCAATGAATTCTCTTTAAAGAGCCTGGCTTCTGTTTTGAAGTCCAGTTGTTTCATGTGACATATACAAGCTTGCCCTTTGCAAACTGATGATGCCAAGCCCTTCTGTCCGCCCCCCACTCCCACCCCCAGAGAGTCTCCCAGACTCCAGCTTTTCCTCCCAGAAACTCTGAACCATGTGGATCATGTACATGCCCACGCTGTGCCCTATTTACTTTCAGCCTTTGTCCTGTGGGCTCCACCCAGAGGGCCCTTCCCTACCATCTTCTGTCAAACTTCCCATTCTTCCTTTGGGCTCCAGTGTCCTCTCTGTAGGAGAACTTTGCTGGCTCCTGGTCCCCCCGTGTCCTGGGTCAGGATACCTTTCCCATGTGAGCACCCATCTCCTTGTACTTTCGCTTAGTCCTCTCTGCACATCAGTGCCCAGTTTTGTCCTAAACATGGGCACTTGCTTGAATGTTGCTTTTAGAGAAATCTTCACCTCTTGTTATGTTGTTATGTAATGTACATGAGCACCTTAAAAAACAACAACAACAGAGACTTGTATATTCTGTATGATTTTTAACCAACCCTCTCCAAAAGCAAAAAAGAAAAGAACAAAATGCCCACGGGATCAGAGCAGCACAAAGCTCACACCTGTGCAAGAAGGGACCCAGAAGCCATGTGACAGGTGAGAGGGTCCTGAGACAGGTGCCGTGTGTAAAGGTCACTCAGCAGAACAGAGCATCTGGGGGCAGAGCATCATTAGCCAGGAATAGAATCTGAAGCTAAGGTATGGCACAAAGGTATACATAGTATGGTGGAAAAATAGGGGAAGGCCATTGTGCCAGGCAGAAACAGAGGGAGAAGAAGAAAGGAGGGTTTTATGCAGAGGAAGACCATGATCTGACTCATGTTGTGAAAGGGTCATTGTTTTAAAAACATCACTCTTAGGATAAAGACCAAATTCCTCCCACAGGATCTTAGGAGGTCCTGCACCACTGGGCTGCTGTCCACCGCCCAACCTCTTCTAGAACCAGGGAATCTCTCACTGGCTGCCTTCTAGCCTACCAGTCCCTCACCCCCAACCTTTTGGTTCCTCAAATGGGCCATGCTTTCTCCATCTGCAGGCACATAACGTTGCCCTTGCCTGCTTCATTATTTCCTACCTCTCTTTGTCCATTAACTCCTCTGACACTGTTCATCTCAGCCCCTTCATCACATTCTCAGAGAACTGCTCCCTGACTTCCCTAACAAAGTCACTTGTTATTCTGTGCCCACCCAGCCCGCATAGCCTGAACAGAGTTATACTCTTGTGTGTTTTCTCCCTAGCCCTTCACTGCCTCCCTGGAACCTGGAAGAGCTTGTAATACATGGAAAGCCCCTAATACTTGTTGGATGGGTAAATGAATAGCTCTGTCACTGCACTTAACATCAGAATTTGTTCATTTACTCACTAGCTACCCATTGGCTCCAACTGTGCACAAAGCCTTGTGCTGGGGACTGAGCATAAAAAAGGAAATGTCATCTTTTTAATTGTCACTTCTTCTACAAACTGGAAGCTCTCTGAGGGCAGGGGTCATGTCAGAGGTGAATGTCCAACCTATATCATATTCTATTGGTGGTTCCACCACTCTTTTCATGTAAGCACCTGGGAGTTATGCAGGCTGCTGCCACACTCCACATCTGACCATCGGTCCTGCTACTCAAATCTGCTCCTGTCCACACCTGCTGACCTGGCATTGTCAGGCCACAGTAATCCCATCTGGACTGGGCCAAGCCATGCACCATCACCATATGACCGTCAATGTGATTTAGCTCAAGGCAAGCATGGCCATGTGTACAATCTTCCTACAACACTGGACAGACCCTGCACTGCTTATAATGCAAAGCCCTGCTTTCTGAATGCAACATTCAAGGCCCTCCCATCTGTCTTCCACTACCTCTCCACACAACCCTTGCCTTTTTCTGCTCCGATTTTTCCATGCCAACAACAACAAACCCAAGCTTGTTCCCCACCCATGCCATGAAGCATCTTACCCCAATGCTTTCACCCAGGCTGTACCCAGAAAGTGTCTCCCTCACCATCTTTACTGGCTCAGTCCCCCCACTAAGCCTCTGAGAGGTAGTTCATGCATTATCTCCTCCAGGGAAATCCCTATCCTCAACTGAATCTTCCTCTTCACCTGATTCTGTTTCTCTTTACACATATATTGTAACATTTACTTGTGTGTCTTTCCTGTGAGTACTTTAAAAATAAAGAATGCATCTTATTTATCATAGTATTGCCATAGTATTGACTTGGCATAGTTCCTAGTAACTAACAGGCACTCAGTAACAGTTGACAAATGGATGGGTGGGTGGGTAGGGAATGAATGGGGGGGATGAATGGGTGGATGGATGGGAAACGGATGGGTGCATGGATGGTTGGATGGTTCAATGAATGGGTGGGTAGATGGAGAGATAGATGGAAGAATGGGTGGATTGGTGGATGAATGGGTGGTTGGATGGGTGGATGAATGGATGATGGATGGATGAGTGGATAGATGGATGCATTTATGGAGGGGTGGATGGATGGATACATGCATGCATGCACTCATGGATGGATGCATGGAGGGGTGGATGGATGGGTGGATGAACAGATGGAGAGATGGAAAGAAGGAACTATAGATGTGGCCAGGAGAGACTTTTCACAGGGCAGAAACAAACTCATCTTTTCTTACAGTGTTTATTAATTACCACCTTGTAGCAGGCTCTGTAAAAGGCACTTGATAAAGTCATCTCATTTGATCCTCATAAAAATCCTATCAATTAAATATAATTATCTCTCATTTTACATCTGTGGGAATTAAGGCCCAGTGTCACAACTAGAATGGGACAGAGCTGTCTCAGGCCTCCAAACCCAGTGCCCTCCTTCTACACCATCTGGAAACAGAAGCACTCTCTTGGACCTCTGAGCCTGCTGATTTTCCTTGAAAGAGGGAGAAAACAGCCACCAGCCTCCTGTTCTGCACATTGGAGATGCCTCTCTTCATCCTTCCCCCAGGAGACTGAAGTCTAAATTCAAGTGACACTTCCCAGCACATTCTAAATGAGGCTAAAAGTGGAGTAGTGATCCATCTACTAATATTTTTCTAAGACAGTGATGACTTACCATCTCAGTACTCTGGGGAGATTTAAGGTTAAATATGCCCACACAAAGCCAAGAGTGAGGAGCCAGATGAACATACAGTGGGGGTGGAGTGTGGAGGATTTTACAAGCAACTACATGGGCAATACTGAGACAGCCCCTCCTAAAAGAGAAAGGGGCCCTCTGGCTAGAAAGATGAGAGGCTCCACCAGTAGCACATGGGGCCCTCACATAGGAGAGATAAGGAGGAGTATCTACAGACAGGTTGGGCCTCCACTCCGGAAGGAAATCCAGGTTCAGTGCATCAAACACTTTGTATCGACCTTTAGTAGATAAAACTGTGAATCCCCAAAATCATATGACTTGGTGGCCAGCAGGCCCAAAGTCCCATTCTGCAGAGGTAGACACTGAGTCAGAAAGCAAGAGACACTTAATTGAATTTACAGTGCATGGCAGGGATGGCATCTGTGTGAGGACCCAGGTATCCTTGTACCAAGGCATGTTCTTTCTCTATCACTTGTCTCTTGTCCCTCTCTCTGCCCAATGTCTGTTCACCAAGGCATACACCCTTTACTGAGCCACCCCCTGTGTTAAGACCCAATCATATGCTGGGAAGAGTCCTGCTTCCTTGACCACAGCTTTTGATGGAGTTGTGGGCAAAAGGAGTGCATGGAGAGGGTGAGAGAATACAGTTCGCTCAGGAAAGCATTCTATGGTGTAACCCCAAAACTGATCTTTGTTTGCATGGTAGAAGCAATATTTGCCTAAGTCTATGACACACATCTCCAAGATAACGGTTGCCTGGACATCTGTCTCTCTAGCCATCTCATACTCTACTCTTATTAGAATCCTTTTTTAAGTTTATTTATTATTTTTGAGAGAGAGACAGAGTGTGATCAAGGGAGGGGCAGAGAAAGAGGGAGACACAGAATCCAAAGCAGGCTCCAAGGTTCCAAGCTGTCAACACAGAGTCCATTGCGGGCCTCGAACTCATGAACCATGAGATCATGACCTGAGCCAAAGTCGGACACTCAACTAACTGAGCCATCCTGATACCCCAAGAATCTTTTTTTTTTTTTTTTTTTTTTTTACATCCTCATTTCCTTTCCTAAGGGTTTGGAGTGGAAACAATATAAATAACAGCGGAAGTAAACCTTTAAAATAAGAGTTAAAGGTCAAAATATCGGTAAGGGGTGGGATAGTCATATTTTAAAAATGAGATAAAGGTAAGTTACTATATAGATTTGGCTTTGAACTTCCTAGAAGCCAAGGCAAAAGGGAAATGTGATATATTCCATAGCTTTTTTGGGGGGGATATTTTTTAGTGTTCATTATTTTTTGAGATAAAGAGCATGAGCAGAGGAGGCGAAGAGAGAGAGGGGACAAAGGATCCGAAGCAGGCCCCGTGCAGGAGCCTGATGAGGGGCTTGAACCCATGAACCATGAGAGCATGACCTGAGTTGAAGTTGGACACTCAACCAACTCAGCCACCCAGGTGCCCCTACTCCATAACTTTTAAGAACTGATAAATGGTAAAATAGAGTAACTGGTAGGACATGGTTTCTGGGGTCAAAGGGCCTAGTTTCTGAACCTATGTTGATCACCTATCAGTGCAGCTTTACCTCAGTTGACAATGCCCAGCCCCTCTGTGCCCACAGGCTGCTCCATCACTGAGGCTGTGACAATCCTGGGGAATAAACTCAGAGATTACCAGGGGCAGTTCAATACCACTCACCTGCTGGCCCTCTGTGACTACTTCCACAACACCTTCATCCGCCACTACAAACTCTACCAGTATGTCCTAGGCCAGGACCAGGAGGTCAACCTGACTGTCACCCACCTGGAAGTGTGTGCACCTCCGCAGCCCCTCCCGCTAGCCAAGGGCATGGACAGGGACATCTGGCAGATTGAGCAGCAAGTGGCAGAGCTCAGTATGGCTGAGGTACAGAAACGCACCAATGTGCGGCTCCTGAAAGAGGCGCTGCACCTGGAACAGGAGCACAAGCTACAGAAAACATTCTCTGAGGTGCCCGAGCAACCCAGCCAGGTTCTGAAGAGAGAGGTAAGGCTGGACCCGTGAGGGGGGAGGATGCTTACCTACTACATACAAATGCGCATTCCTACCAAGAGCACATGGAGGCTGGAGTCAGACTCGCAGACAAGACCCCATTGTCTGCACACATGGGATGGGGAAGAAGGGGACAGACAGTCATTGAGCTGCAGCCACAGCCTTTGCATACATATTTCACAAAATATCTCTGTGAGATATAATTCATGTCCCCATGTTAGTAATGAGAAAAGTGAGGCTCAGAGAACTTAATCCACTTGCCCAAGGTCACCAAGGTATCAGGTGGTAGAGTTTACATTTGGACTAAGGCCTGACAGATCCCAATGTCTAAAGAAAAGCCCAGGCTCTGAACCACCACAGATTGTCTCAGTGCCCTTCATCTGCCGGCAGAGTTGGCATTCATCGGGGCCTGGGGGTGGGGAAAGTTGGTGAAGGAAGGGCCACTGGGGACAGCTCAAGGTGGGTGATATGCTGAGGTAGGCAAAGCAGTGGGGCTAGTGGTCCAGGGAGAACTTATAAGATTGTGGCATGGATCGAAGAAATCGGGCTGTCATCTCGACCAGTCTTAAGGCCACAAAGGTTCCAGGAGCCAGAGTCTCAATGACCCACCAGCTCTTTACTAAATGGTGACTAGATTGGCCCCAGGACAACCAACTTATTAAGGGCCTGGAAGAGTCCATATTAATTTTTTAACTAAGCATAGGCACTTAATAGCAGCATCATTGCAGTATCTTTGAACACAGAGACAAGTATGTGTATATGTGTACACATGGGTGCCTATGTTGGGGGTATTAGGGCTGGGGTAGGGTGGAGAGTCACAGGGCTTGTGTATTCCAAAAGGTTTTTAAACTGTCAGGCAAGGAGCGAATGGCCCTGTGAAGTACAACATGGGGAAAATCTCTAAAGAGCAATTAACACAATAGAATAAATGATACTCTTCTTAGGTTAAGTCAAGTCTCCCAGAGAAATAGCACATTGGGCTGCCAGGTAATCTTAGTGCAATACGATGTCCAGCAAAGAAGAACCCAACAAAACCTAGGCAACAGGTGCTCCTGGGTGGCTCAGTCAGTTGAGTGTCCATCCAACTCTTGATTTTAGCTTGGGTCATGATCCCAGGGTCATGGGATTGTGCCCCACATATGGCTCTGTGTTGAGCGTAGAGCCTGCTTAAGATTCTCTCTCTCTCCCTCCCTCTCTCTCCCTCTTCTCTCTGACCCTCCCTTGCTTGTGCTGTCTCTCAAAAGAAATTTTTTTAAAAGAAGAAAAGAACTTAAGCAATAGCCTGTCTCACCTCCTCCGGGGGATCTTGCTCTAGAACATGTGGACAAGGGAATGGATGGGAGGGAGTGCCTTCCCTCCCACTCCTGCAGTCCTTCCCTGCCCCTCCCAGTTGCCCTTCCAGCCCCCATTACTTTGCTGCTGGTTCCTGCCTGATGTAGCTCATGAACTAGGGTCCCCTCCACTGTGTGCCCCTGCTTGTGTGCCTGAGGTGGGGACACTGAACACCATAGGATAAACGTGATACATCCTCTTGGAGCACAATCCTCTCCCCAAGGACTTAGTGTAAGAATATTATTTTTATATAAAAACAAGCAAGGAGATATTCTGGAGCAAATACAAGATTTTGCATGATATTTTCAGTTAAAATAAGATATCTCAAAGAAATGTCTTCTAGACAGTTAGATACTACAAGTATGTTGTCACCTGACACCCTCAAGACAAGCACAAACTCTCCTCTACTGTTTGGATGCTCAAGCAGGAAATTTGGAGACACATAATTACATTGTCTATGTCTCCAGGATTCCATGGTGCCATAATCCTGATTGAGATGACAGAGAGGGTCTCAAGTTTAACATGGCAGATGGTGGCTAAGTTTCCATTCTTTCCATGGCTGGCTGCTTGGAGGACACTCTCTGAGAAACTTTCACTGTCCCTTCTGATGAAAGCTGCTACTGGAACTTTGAGATGTAAAACTGAGATGAGGGCAAGAGTGGAAGGAAGGGGAATGATATCCAAGTGGAACATGCATTGACCAGAAGATAGGGGAATATGGGACTAGCCTATAGGCCCAGAACCATATTAGTAATAAATAACACACTCAACCAGGGTTATTGCCACAGTAGGCCTGAAAGGATAAGGAAAGAAGCAGTCACTGGAATCCAGAAAGAGAGCTGTAGGAGAAGGCTATGGGATAGGAGGTGTGGCTGTAGGCAGAGGATCAGAGCCATGGCCAACCCACCACAGATCCAGAGGGAGTCAAGAGACTTCATTCTCTTCCCAGGTTCAGATTTCCTGCCAGTATCTTCCATTGGCTGAACTCAACTTGAAGCTATAGGTCAAGGTAGCCGACTGAGGCAGCCCTTATAAGTCAGCCTCTCAGAGCACAAAGTAGAGGGACAACGGTGGCCAAGAGATCTGGTGAGGGAAATAGAATGTTTTAGAACACAGAAAAAAAAGAGCTGATGTGTTCAGAATTGGATATCTGCAGACGGCCTCAGCCTTCTCCAGAGCTCTGACCACTAGCCATGTTCTATTTCTTCCAGGAGTTAGAAAATCTCATCAATGAGGCCATTCACATTCAGATAGAATGCCTGAAGGAGCTGCTTCAATATGAGATACAGATAACTTTTGATATTTTGGACCTGAAACTTCAGAAGAAGACTTTGAACCTCAATGCTCCTATCCTTTTCCCCCTCTCTATCACTGGCCAGCCAGGCCAAGATGAATCTAAGTTCTACAAAACAAACAAAGGAAAGAAAGCAAAAGCAAAGAAGAAGTAGAGAGCCCCTGATATCCACTGACTAAAGACTCTGAGGAAAAGCCATTGACAATTATGAAAGTATTATGTGACGTGCTCAGCACCTATAAATCAGAGCTTTCTAGTGATTAAAAGAAATAAAATGGCAGTCATCATATTTCCTCTCTCTTCTTTCTGGAAACCATCTTCTGCCCCCTGAAAATTCAACCCAAATGAATTTTCCCTGCATCTTGGAAGAAAGCTGTCTTTCTCTGCTAAGCACAGTTTATGCTCAGTAGGCAAGCAAACATCACTTGTTGACTAAGGCTGAACTTAGACACTAAAGACAGAACTACCACCGGTGGGTTTAAATGGATAAGAGTGAGGGTGACGACAGATACCAGGAAGGACTTTCAGCTAACACAGTAGTTCTCTGGCTAGTGTGGGAACAGGTCCTGGGATTCTGTTTCCTTTCCACAATTTGTACAACAGTATTGACTGCTTGCAGCCTCCTATGCATGTGCTGGTCTCCCTGCTAGAAGATCTTAGAGCCACCTAGAGCCTCTAGAAAACTTCCTTTTGTGAGGACCCATGCTGATTAGACTGAGGCAGGGGAACCAGCACTGCCCAAGAGGCCAGAGACCCGGCTTTGAGCCCAGCTCTACTTCTGGTTTACTGTGTGTGACCTTGCCCATGCCCCTTCTTTCTCTGGACCCCAGCTCTCTATCTGTGTCAAGTGAGGGCATTGCTGGCTGGTGTCTAAAGTCTCTCTAGAGTGGCTCTCACTCTAACCCTGGGAAGGTCCCATCTCCCCCAGAAGAGAGATGAAGTAAGGTTGTCTATTCCCATTTTTCTAGGAGTTCAATGTTCAAAGAAGTCAAGTACCTACCTCAAAGTCACACAAGATGCAGTGAGAGAATGGTAACTGGAACTCTGGCATCTGGACTCTTATTTCTATGCTGTTGCCTCTATAGCATCATGCCTGATGCACACAGTGGCACGAATCCAGTAGTAGTCAGCTTATCACAGCCATGTAACTGACAGGAGACTGTGGCCCCCAGGATCAGGACAGAAAGGACATTACCACTCACTGATTTTTCCCAGGCCAGAAACCTGCTCTGCCCACCTCTGTCATCTGCCCTGTGTCCTTGCTGATTATGGGATGGCCCACCGTGCATCACACCCATCATCTCACCATTGCCACTGTTGCCTTCGGGGTCTTGCCATTCAAAGTGTGCCTGCTTCCATGTGTTTCCAGGCAAAGTCAGCCTGCTCTTGGAGGTCAAACTGGGTTCAGGTAAAGAGAGGGAGCCCCAGAGGGGGCATGTCACCAGCCTGGAGTGCCCTCTGAGAGAAGTCCAGGAGACAGGTGTCCCCCAGCTGAGAAGGAGCACTGCCCTACTCTCTCCTGTCTTACCTTGAGGCTGCTGGGAGTGTGCTTTTTATCTGAGAAGTGCAGTAAACTTTCCCAGACCTCTCTGGACAGAGGAAGGAGGTTCCAGGTTTTCCTAAAATTTTCATCCCTTCATTCATTCATCCATTCGTGTATTCATATTATACATTTTTTTGTTAACATTCACATCTACTGTGTGGCTGAAACCACTGTGACCCAGAGGAAAGAATGAGAGCTGCCATCTTATCCTGCCCAGGCCTGACCAGGATTGCAAAACTCTCCTGCAACCTGCATGGATGAGATGTGTGTGTGTGTGTGTGTGTGTGTGTGTGTGTGTGTGTGTGTGTGCGTGCCCACATGTGCAGGCATGGGTGTATGTATGCTTGTAAGCGTGTGTGTGTGTGAGTGTGTGTGTGTGTTTGGGGGGAGGGGGTAGGAGCAGGTGGGCACTGCTCAAGCCCAGGGCATATGCTGGAGATCCTCAGTGCTGGAGCAGGAGAGAATCAGCACCCTGGCCAGCCTGGGAAGAAGCTGAGTTGAGAGCACAATTATTAGAGTGTCCAGAAGACCCTGGAAGTAGTGGTCAACACTGGGTTGGGTCAATCAATTATAAAAGGATTAATAGCTCCCTCTTGCCTTGCCTTTCTCCCAAGTTGAGGAGGGTTGTTCAACCATCCCGTCCACACCCAGTGTCCCAGCCTTGCCTTGTTAGCGCCCAGACAGATCCTCAGGACCCCCAAGGCTTTTAACCCTTTTAGTCTCGGGCCACTCAGACCCTGAGGTATTGACAGTGGCTTATTGGTGTTGTCTTCCCCACTGGACTTGGACCTTCCCCTGCTCTTCTGCCAAGGGAGCCCCTAGTCACCAACCCCTTGGGTGGACCCACAGCCTGGCCAGGGTCCTCCTCCCCACAATAGCCAGGCTTCCAGCAAGAGGTGGGTGCCATAGGCACTTCCTGTAGTGGCTGTGAAAGGGGAGGAAGTGGTTCTTGAAGCCTTGTGTCCACGTAATCAGCCTGCAGGCCCTCCTTTGCCCTCAGAGACAACTCTTCTCCGTAACCTGGAAGGATTGACATCAGAGCTATTTCAGCCACAAAGTAGGTGTAGATGTTAAAAAGTGTTTGGGGATGGGGCGCCTGGGTTGTTCAGTCAGTTAAGTCTGTTAAGCTGACTATTAGTTTCAGCTCAGGTCATGATCTCATGGTTCGTGGGTTCAAGCCCCAAATCAGGCTCCATGCTAACAGTGTGGAGCCTCCTCGAAATTCTCTCTTTCTCCCTCACTCTCTGCCCCTCCCCCTGTTCTCTCTCTCTCTCAAAATAAATAAATAAATTTTTAAAAAAGTGTTTTGGGAGTTAAGGAAGAATGAATGAATGAACAAATGAATGAATGAAAATGTTAAGAAAATCCTGGAACTCATTTTCTCTACCCAAAGAGGTATTGAGAATCTATCTTATCAAACTCCTCAGGGATAAAACACTCTTCTCTCCTTCCAAGGCCAAAAGCAGAGTTGTAGGCTCTACCACATGATGGACTTAGGAAACTCTCCTGCCCTGGCCTTCCCTATGGAATCTTCCACTGGGCTTTGCCTTGTGCTAGAAGTTTGTGCCCTCAAGAAGGTGTCCTCAATTAACAAGGGAGACAAACACCCCTATGCCCATCTGACTTCCACAGTCATTCGGTGCCTTCTATTCAAGGAAAGCAGAGGAGGCCTGGAGGCTTGGTGTCTGAGAGGGAGGGGACACCCTAAGCAATCCTTCCCCTTCAGCTCCTACTCAAACATAGAAGTTCTGGTTTCAGCACATGTCTATTTCATGGGTATCTGAGTTGTATTTATGAAGGAGGCTGGGACAGGGAAGTCACAGGGACCAGAAATGAGGAGAGAAGCCACAACAACAAGTGAATTTAAGGCCTCGTGGGGACAGGAGAGGAAGCCTCAAGACCCATACACACTGGGAGTTAAAATTGGGCTTTCTACATCAAGGTAAGAATGGAGAATGGGTGGTTCCATGGGAATGTCCTCCCTCCCAGCCACCTGGGAAGCAGCACAGTCCAGCCTTCTGCAACAACTCTTGGAGGACCTGGAGTCTGTGGGAGGGCAGAGTCCCCGCCTGTGCCCCCACGTTCCTGCAAGTCTTGGATGCTGACACTACACAGACGTGGAAACCCTAGAGAAATGACCCTAAAAGTGAGCCACGATCGGAGCATCCCTAGAGCCTAAGGATAAAGCACCTATAGGTAAGGTGACCAAATGCTCTGTTTGTCATGGATGGTGCCTGTTGACCGATATCATCCTGGTATTCTGCCTAGGTTGTCATTGCTTAATGGAGTCCTATTAAGAATTGCTTTAAGGGGCACCTGGGTGGTTCAGTCAGTCAAGTGTCCAATTTGGCTCAGGTTATGATCTTACAGTCTGTGGGTTCATGCCCTATGTCAGGCTCTGTGCTGACATGTCAGAGCCAGGAGCCTGCTTCAGATTCTGTATCTCCCTTTCTCTCTCTGTCCCTCCACTGCTCTCTCTCTCTTTCTCTCTCTCTCTCTCTCAAAAACAAAATAAAAACATTATAAAAAATTAAAAAAAAAAGAATTTCTTTAAAAGAAGCCATGATTGGATTGGTGCCCTTTCACTTGTACTTCCGGCTTCTGCCACAATTGCATCTCTTGGAGTGGGAGTCACATGTGCAGTGAGCAAGTTCTAACTTCTACTCCAGGCTACATCTGGAAGACAATGAGGGTTGACCTGTCTCTCCTTCCCCATCTTTTCCTGACTCAGTGCCACCATCTTAGGGACACTGCGTACAGCTCTCCCCTAGATGTTGAAATGCACACAGACACAAGCCACCAAGGAGAGTAATTCCCCCTCTGGAGTGGTGCTAAGTTACAGACTTGGTGTTTCGGCTCTTTCCAGTTGTGCCATGACCTGCCAGGTGCAGGAAGCCACAGGCCACCAGGCTCCCAGGTCGGTGGGGAAAGTTGGGGTGACACACATGACATGCAGGAGTCTTGTTCAAGGGCCCATAGAGAGTAACGGGAGCAACCTTGCTGCAGCAACTTTTTCACATTCTGTGTGGTATAAAATCTGGAACTATTTATCTTAGTGTTTGCTATGCTGCTTTCATTTTACAATAAACTCTCAGCAGCAATGAGTTCAACAAAAAAGAAAGTGCATGAGTAATGGAAATGTAAATATCTTTCTCTTTTTCAATAAAGTTAACGATAAAACTGTAACACACACAAAATGGTTATCAGCATTTATCATCTTTGCTGAGAACCATGGTGATATTACTGGCTACATAAAAAAACAGAACACAGATCTGTTCCAGAAGCATCAGTATCTAACTCCAAGTTTATCAGTGGTTTTAAGAACACTGTCTAAAATCCTGGTCAAATGTTATTCTGGTATGTGTGTCAGAGAGTTCTTGACTGAAACTAATACTTGAATTAGCAGACTAAATAAAGCAGATTGTTTTCCCTAATCGTGAGTGAGCCTCATCCAATCAGTTGAAGGCCTGAATAAAATAAAACAATGCCTTCTCCCCAAGTAAGAGAGAATTCCCCCTGCCTGGCAGCATTTGAAATGGACTGTGAGCTCTTTCTGTTTCTACAGTAGCCTGCCAGCTTGAGACTTTAGCTGTAAAGATTTTAGACTTGCCACCTCCATAGCCATGTAAGTCAACTCCTTATCATACAACTCTTAGATAAATATATACACTCTTCTATCGATTGGTTATGTTTTTCTGGACAATCTTGCCAATACATTTGTCAATTCCAAGT